CTTATACCAGCCAAAACTAAAGCTAAAAAAACTCAACTGTCTGGCCATCATCAAGATCATCATCATTTTCACGATCTTGCCATCACCATCAGCGTCATTGTTCATTAAGCTCTTTTAGGCTTTTGTATGATTGACATTAAAAAAACAGGTGATGGGCCTACTGAAAAATAAAAGATCCAAGAAAAAAGTTTCATTTTTGAAACTTTTTAACACACAATGTAAAAAAATATCTTATTTATCAGCATTTTTTTCTGTTGAAAAATTTTTGTAAGAGTTTCAGCGACTTTTATCTGATTGTGTTTTTTATTTCTTTATTTTTGGTTAAAAGAAAAAAACTATATTTTTTGTTAGCAAAAATTTTTTTTTAATATTTTTGGAACTATTTTTTTTTTGTATAACGAAGTGTTTTATTTTATATTTATTAAATAGATGTTTAAAAAAATATTTTAAATTTTTCTTATAATTTGTTATAAGAGATTTTTTATAAGAAAACATAAGGCAAATGAAATCTCAATACAATAAGTTCAGAAGCTGTCTGAATATAGAAAAATATACTAAGAGGTTTAACAACCGGTGATGTGTGAAAAATTTGTCGTAAGAACATAGCATGAACTAATATATTAGGGTATCACTAACTTTTATATTAGTTCTTTTAAGGTTAGGTTATTGAGTCAGTCCACCCAACTGCGACTCACTTGCTGGTCCATGGGCTGGACCATTGTTAACAATATATTATACATATTTCATGTTTAGAATGGAATCAGATCATTTCGAGGCAGAAACGAAATACTCTTTCTTGTTGATGTTGATACTAGAAAGATGTCGGACTACCCAAGGCTTCAGTCCTAATACCTGACAGAGCAGTACATAAACAAAGAGATTGCTCAGTTGTTTCGTCTTCGTTGAGAAGATTTAATCTCCTCACATGCGCTATAATACAGTGATATGTCAAGATGGCTACCAAATTGAAAGCCCCAAAACGAATAACAACCTTCAGCCATCATAGGCAGGTCTATTCTATGTCTAGTATGTATTCTAGTCTATAGTCTAGTCTCTTCAGTCTATTGTCAAGGCTATTCTCTAACCTAGTCTATTCAATAGTCAAGTTTGTAGTCTGGTCTGTAGTCTAGCCTATATAGTGTATATTCTAGTATGTAGTCTGGTCTATAGTGTAGTCTATAGTCTATTCTATAGTGTAGTCTATAGACTAGACTATAGACTAGACTATAGACTACACTATAGAATAGACTATAGACTACACTAGTCTATAGTCTAGTCTATAGTCTAGTCTATAGTCTAGTCTATAGTCTAGTCTATAGTCTAGTCTATAGTCTAGTCTATAGTCTAGTCTATAGTCTAGTCTATAGTCTAGTCTATAGTCTAGTCTATAGTCTAGTCTATAGTCTAGTCTATAGTCTAGTCTATAGTCTAGTCTATAGTCTAGTCTATAGTCTAGTCTATAGTCTAGTCTATAGTCTAGTCTATAGTCTAGTCTATAGTCTAGTCTATAGTCTAGTCTATAGTCTAGTCTATAGTCTAGTCTATAGTCTAATCTATAGTCTAGTCTATAGTCTAGTCTAGTCTAGTCTATAGTCTATAGTCTATAGTCTATAGTCTATAGTCTATAGTCTAGTCTAGTCTATAGTCTAGTCTATAGTCCAGTCTATAGTCTAGTCTATAGTCTAGTCTATAGTCTAGTCTATAGTCTAGTCTATAGTCTTGTCTATAGTCTAGTCTATAGTCTAGTCTACAGTCTAGTCTATAGTCTAGTCTATAGTCTCAGTATACAGTCTAGTCTATAGTCTAGTCTATAGTCTAGTCTATAGTCTAGTCTATAGTCTAGTCTATAGTCTAGTCTATAGTCTAGTATATAGTCTAGTCTATAGTCTAGTATATAGTCTAGTTTATAGTCTAGTCTATAGTCTTAGTCTATAGTCTAGTCTATAGTCTAGTCTATAGTCTAGTCTATAGTCTAGTCTATAGTCTAGTCTATAGTCTAGTCTATAGTCTAGTCTATAGTCTAGTCTATAGTCTAGTCTATAGTCTAGTCTTAGTCTAGTCTATAGTCTAGTCTATAGTCTAGTCTATAGTCTAGCTATAGTCTAGTCTATAGTCTAGTCTATAGTCTAGTCTATAGTCTAGTCTATAGTCTAGTCTATAGTCTAGTCTATAGTCTAGTCTATAGTCTAGTCTATAGTCTAGTCTATAGTCTAGTCTATAGTCTAGTCTATAGTCTAGTCTATAGGCTAGTCTATAGTCTAGTCTATAGTCTAGTCTATAGTCTAGTCTATAGTCTAGTTATAGTCTAGTCTATAGTCTAGTCTATAGTCTAGTCTATAGTCTAGTCTATAGTCTAGTCTATAGTCTAGTCTATAGTCTCGTCTATAGTCGTCATAGTAGTCTATAGTTTAGCCTAGATTCTAGTCTATAGTCTAGTCTATAGTCTTGCCTATAGTCTACTCTATAAACAGTCTATAGGCTAGTGTATAAACAGTCTAGCGGAAAATCAGTTTAGTACTTTAAACCTGGTTCGAATATTTCGCCATCTCGGCATGATGCACAGGGCGTTGTCGAACCAGTCTGAATGTTGTATAGACATCACCAAAAAATCATCGACGTTACTCTCGAAATCCCAGCCTGTAAGCGGTACATTGATCATGTCACCAGAAACACCGTTTTGTTAAATACAATTTTATACGTTTTTATAATTAATAAAGTTTTAAAAGTTTCACTGCAAAAAAAATGCAAAATATATTTTAAAATATTTAATTTTAAAACCCGATTTCTTTTTTAGGAAAAAAATCACACTACAATTGATTTTTGTTTTCTTCCCCTTCTTACACAAAAATACTTCAGATAAAAACATAAAAGCGAAGTGTGTTTTTTATGATTTTACCTCATAAATCTTATATTGACCTAATCTAATTTAAGCCGTGTAAACACGCATAAAGTCAGTTACAATTCAGTCAGTTAGGCGACAAACAGAGGAGACCGACACCCCATCTACACGTTACAACACTTGCAGTGATATCAAGTTTTTTTGTTGTGTATTTTATTTTTACTTAACATGCATTTTCAGACCCAGTAGCCTAATGCCCGATATATGTATACAATACAATATTATTTTTATTACATTTTTTTTGTGTTTTCTTTTCTCACTTTAGTTTAAATCAACATTTATTTAAGACTTTTCATTTGTACATTCTCTCTTACTCTATCTCCTGTTCAGGGTACAATAAGATAATAAATTCAATAAATCGTTATTTGCCATAAAAACTTTCAAATGCTCCTATAGACATAACTCTTAAGGAATAATACATATATATGAAATATGAACATAAAAATGTGAAAAAATGAAAGATATATATTCTAAAGAGTTCCTCTTTTTTGAGAAAACAGCCTAAACTGTGTCAATGTCTGCTTAATATTTTACACTTTTTGCAGTTTTCTTTTAAAAATTTCAAAATAAAATTTCACAGTAAAGGTATAATTTTAAACACGAGGCTTTTTCGCTAAATTTTATTATTGTAATAATAAAATGTTTGTAAAATTATGGTTAAAAAAAACTTTAAAAAACTTTGCCTACAGCCATTAATCATTTGGTTAAGATTTTATAACACTTTTGTAAAATACATATTTTTACGCACAAGAAAAAAAATAAAACTTTAAACATTTTTAAATTAAAAATAAACATTAGTTTTGGTTTGTTTAAAAAAAGTTTATTTAGTAAATTATGGTTAATAAGGTTAAAGGCCTTTTAGTTTTTTTCTTCTTTTTGTAGTCTTTCTATTTCTTTAGTTTCTTTTTTTACAAACTATTGTTGTAATTTTTTTTTCACATTTAGTTAATTATACTAGATATTTTAAGCCTACTAAATTCCATTTAAAAAAATTAATACATATATGTTTTATATAAAAAAGAAAAAGTTTTGCTAACATTTGTAAAAACGACTTAATTTAGACCACCTTGACATATAGACAAAAAACTGAAATGATCAGCTTAAGCACACGATTTTAGAGAAACTTTTGTTTTTGTTTTAAATGAAGAGCACTTTATAAATGACTTTTATTCAAATAAGTTATACAGACCAATGGGATGTATAACTGTCCGCCACTCGAAGACAATAGAGGGGGTTTAGGGCTTTTACATTGTTATTCCAACGATATAATTTCGTTATTGTCATTCTTTCTATCTATTAGACAAGACTATGAACTAGTCTATAGACTAGACTATCAACTAGACTATATATTAAACTATAGACTAGATAATAGACTAGACTATAGACTAAACTATAGACTAGACTATAGACTAGACTATAGACTTGAATATAGACTAGACTATAGACTTGACTATAGACTAGACTATATACTTGACTATAGGCTAGACTATAGACTAGACTATAGACTAGACTATAGACTAGACTATAGACTAGACTATAGACTAGACTATAGACTAGACTATAGACTAGACTACAGACTAGACTATAGACTAGACTACAGACTAGACTATAGACTAGACTATAGACTAGACTATAGACTAGACTATAGACCAGACTATAGACTAGACTATAGACTAGACTATAGACTAGACTATAGACTAGACTATAGACTAGATTATAGACTAGACTATAGATTAGACTATGGACTAGACTATGGATTGGACTATAGACTATCGACAAGACTATGAACTAGTCTATAGAGTAGACTATCGACTAGACTATATATTAAACTATAGACTAGATAATAGACTAGACTATAGACTAGACTATAGACTTGACTATAGAATAGACTATAGACTTGACTATAGACTAGACTATATACTTGACTATAGACTAGACCATAGACTAGACAGTAGACTAGACTGTACACCACACTATAGACTAGACTTAGACTGAAATATAAACTAGACTATACTATAGACTAGACTAGACTATATAGTATAAGCTAGTTTCAAATATTTCTAATAAAAAAATAATAAGAAAAACAAATAGTTCTACTTACTGTAGTCACATTGCTCATCTTGCGTTCCATTAACTGTACCATCGGGCAGCAATTGTATGAAACGATTCTTAATATACAATTGTATTTTACGTGATGGTCCCGATAGATGTGATACCGTGGAACGTTCATTACGATCCAAATTATTTTTATGATGTAAATTTCTAGAATTATTCAGTCTTTTTGTTTTCAAAACACTCATATCCGATGAACGTCTCACCAGAACACCACCAGATCCCCTGCTACTACTACTGCTGCCACTACCACTTGATGAACTAACATTAGCCGATGAGGCTGATGATGAAGAAGATCGTATACTGCGTTCAGTTCTTGACAATATAGCCAAATGATGAGATGATGAAAATTTAAAATTATTTATTAAATTTTCTTTATTTAAATGACTATTTTTAGGAGTTTGCTGCTGTTCAACATCTTCATCTGATTGATCAGCTAAGATTGAGGGCATTAATGTTGATTGTATTTTCGCTGATGATTCGGTGGTAGAGATGGTGGTTGGTGTAGGTGTAGTTGTTGTTGTTGTTGTAAAGGGTGTTGGTGAAGTGATGGTGGGTTCTTTAGTGGTGGACTTAGTTAAACTTATCGTGTTAATTGTTGAGTTTTTCGTATGAGTATTTTTTAATAATGACACCTTTTCTACGGCGGCTGATTCGTCTTGTGAGTTTTGCTGTTGTTGTTGTTTTTGTAATTTCTGTGTTGTTGTTGTTTTATGAATGGCAGTTATTTTTTCTTGCTGTTGTTGTTGTTCTTTATCGTTTATTTCTTTAACACTAATACTATTATAGTTTTCGTTAACCTGCTGCTTCTCATTAATCGTCGTTAATCGTTGTTTCTGTGATTGTGGCTGTTGCGGTGTTTCCGTTGCCGTTGTTTCCGCTGTGGCTGTTGTTGAAAAACTTTTCAAATTTTCGTTTAACATTTGATTGTTGTTAAATTCGTTTTTCATTTTACTATCGTCCTTTTGCTGTTGCGTCTGATGCGTCTGATCGTTCGCAACGGCAGGAGTATAAAAGTTTAATATTTTATCGTTTTTAATTATATTTAGTGTGTCTGTGGGTGCAGCTTCTGCTGTTATAGCAGCCACCGGTGGCAATATTGTTGGCATTGCATATACCAAACCCGGCCAATCGATTATAATCGATAGGAGGGCACCCAGCAGCGCCAAAGCCCTCCAATCTAAACGCAGATTTCTTCGCATAATTGAGCAAAAATGTTGATTACTTGATCTCTTTCGTTTAAGCCTTTAAAGTTTAAAAAACGCCCCAAAACTTGTAATGTTCGCGTCGTTATAAACGCAACACTGTTGTAGTTGCTGTAATTGCTGCACTTGTTGTAAAGTTGCCACTTTTCGTTTTTATTTTTAATTTTTATTTTCGCGCGCGCGTTTGCTGGTGTAAATTGTTAAATAATTTATATATATTTTTTTGTTATTTTACACCAAATTAAACTTGTTTTAGACACTTTACGTTTTTTTATTTATTATTTCATAAAATTATGACACCTTGTTTTGTATAAATCATAAAATTTTTCGTTTCTTTTTTTTCCTTTTTTTAACTTTTGGGTTGTATTGTTTTCTTTACGGTTTTTTTATTTCTCTTCTTTTTTGCAATTTGTCTGAAATTTAAAATATTATTTCTTTAAAATTCGTTTAGGTTACCATAGTGTAGACATATCTTTTGCACTTTACTATCACTATGATGGCATTATTAACGAGACCTGTGTAACATCGTTTATGAGTTTCATCTTCGTCTTCCTCGTTGATAATGCATTTTTCAAATTTAACCGACGATTTCATTTTCATTCAAAACAACCCACTTTATTTTAAAGAATTTTATATTTTTTTGCAATTAATTTCCTATATTAATTTTTATTTTTCACAAAAAAACAATAATTTTTTATATTTTAGAAAGTGATTTAATTTTAAATTATTTGTTGGCTTTTAAACACTTTTAATTGTTGTAGTTGTTGTGGTTTTAAAATTATTTCCATTAAACCATGAAGTTTTTTCATCGTTTTTTTGCTGTTTTAGCTGCTGCCTGGGCGATGATGAAGATGAAGTTGAAACGTTTTGTCGTGAAGGTCGCCGGTCGACGTTGCTAGCTGTAATGAAAAGATTTGTAAAAAAACCGGTAAGTAAGATTAATCAAATTGTTTTTGTTTAATGTAGTATTTTTAACATATTTCTTATTGCTTTATTTCTTAAGAAAATTTAAAAGGATTAACAGATAACACTTGTACCGGAACATGACCTACAGCATAATTATAGAGGTTTTTTTTTTGGTAGGGATATTACAGATTACATGGAAAATGATAAATGTCTTGTTAATTAGTGCGTTAAATATCTGGTATTTTAATGGTATTTAAGTAGCCGAATAATATATTAAGTAATATGTAATAAAAACACCTTTTAATAACTAAAATCAATTAATAAATGTTCAAGTTTTTATTTCAAAATTTATGAAACGATTTTTAAAACATATGTTTAGTTTTATGGGTAATTTTATGGGTTTTCTTTAATTGTGTTTAAAGACTTGTATTCCAAATGTTTTTGCCCCTAAACTATCAACTATCACATAACTAATTCTTTTTTATTTTTAAAATCTGTCAAAATTTTGGACTTTCGTTTAGAAAGATTTAATTTAAAATTTGTCTTATTAAAAAACAATTGTTTAAAATTTAAATTGAACTTAAATTTTTAACAATAAACTTTAATGTTTCTCTCGTAAAAAACAACATCAATACAATTTAAACTTTCTAAGAAATTTGAATTTATTTACTTTTAGTTTAAAAATAACTACTACTACGTTTTAGATTCTTTAACATTTTTAAATTATACATTTTCCAATTCATTGCCTTTTTTCACTCAACACAACCCAAGAACAAGTAAGAGTGTTATATTCGGCTATGCCGAATCTTATATACCCACCATCAAACCTCGTTTGACTCGAATGAAACTTACTTATGTCGAATTTCATCTATATACTCGTATATTTAGGGCAGTTATAAGCGTTAAAGTAATTTTCTGAAGGGGACCATGTATAGGGGGGTAGGGTCAATTATGGGTCGATCCTCATAAAATTTGGTAGATAGAATTTGGTTCGTATTAAATTTATTTGTGTCGAATTTCATCGCTACACTCGTATTTTTAAACCATTAATGAGCGTTGCAGTCATTTTCTGAAGGGGACCTTATATGCGGGGTAGGGTCAATCATGGACCGATCCTCATAAAATTTTTTAGATAGATTTTGACTCGTATGAAACTTACTTATGTCGAATTTCATCTATATACTAGTATTTATAAGACAGTAATGAGCGTTAAAGTCATTTTCTGAGGGGGGCCTTATATGGGGAGTAGGGTCAATTATGGACCGATCCTCATAAAATTTCGCATATTGATTTTGGATCATAAGAAACTTACTTATATCGAATTTCATCGCTATATTCGTATTTTTAAACAAGTTATGGCTGTTAAAGCTGCTTTTCGAGGGGCCACTTGTATGGGGGCTATCCGAAAACGTGGACCGATATTGCCCATTTTCAATACCAAACAAACCTTACCTATAAGAAATATTTATGTGAAATTTCAACCCTCTAGCACTATCCATTCGGACTCTATCGTGCTTTCAACAGACAGACAGACAGACAGACGGACGGACGGACGGACAGACGGACAGACGGACAGACATGGCTAGATCGTCTTAGAATTTAATGAGGACCCAGAATATATATACTTTTGTGGGTCTATGACCAATATTTCTATGTGTTACAAACGGAATGACAAAATCAATATACCCCCCATCTTTTTTGATGGTGGGTATAAAAAGGTCAATTGAATAACATTGTTGTTTATAAGAACCAACAAAATATATTTCCCATAAATAATATAAATTGCTCCTCCTGCCTCCTCAGCCGACACAACATTCACTCGATGGCAATGACCTCTAATACAAAAATTTTTGCGTCTGTTTAGTAGTAATGAAAACGATACTTTCGAATATAGAAAAAAACGTATACTAAATATACTATATACAATAAATAAATATACAAGACAAGAACGTAACGTAACCAAAGTACTAAACAGATATTAAAAGGTATTTAATCTAAAAATATTGTGGCCAAAGCTCTTTAATATCAAGAGCGTTTTTCAATCAGTTAAAGTATTAATAACACTTACAAACAAACTTAGAGCCGGTCCACACTAAAGCCCCCTTCACACGAGCACGCAAGTAATAAGATCTGTCAAAACTTTGTGTAAAAGAGTACGGATGAGATCGTCTAAACGCAATATGCAATGAAACCATCGCACATTAAGAGAAAATACGGACGGAAAATTTGACAGTCGTATGGCTCTCTTCATTTTTTTATTCAAAAAACAAGCAAGTCGCATTAGATCAGGGATGTATTTTTATGTAAACACATACAAAAAAAGTGAAACAGCTGTTTCCATCTTACTTTGTTATTATTTTATAACAATCGTGTAAACACAAAAAATATAAATCAAACGACTTTTTTGACATACGGATGGAATTTCATTTTACTTTTACATAAAACTTTACGTACGTAAAGTGTGATCGTGTAAAGGGCGTGAGAAGCAAAGGCTCCTTGGTGGAAATATAACGGTTAATTAACAGTGTTGCCCACTATTTTAAAGCAAAGCACGTATTTAAGTATTTTCAACTGGAATACCCGCTTACTAACTCTAACTTATAGAAAATAGTAGAATTGCCTTGAAATTTCTCTTTTAAGAGTTTAAATTCTTTTACTTAGCTGGTAGGTTAAGTAATAAACATTTGAAATCAATTGAAATGGTAACAGAGTCGCACAAGCACTTTTTTATTATTGTTTTCTAACAGTGAAAGATGAAAAAAAAAATCAAACGAAAAAAAATATGTTAAAGTAGCAGAAGGTGAGAGACATAAAAAGCTATTTTATGTTTCTGAAATTGTACAATTTTTTTATGGGCGGCATATGTTGCTTTAACAAATTCTATTAGGAATTTGCAAAGTATACAAAAAAATCAGGAATAAATATTTAGAACTTTACAAAACCTAATAAATATTTCTTTCTAGGCCTGACGCATTTACTTCTTATTATTATTTTCTTTATTTTATGTATAATGTTTTCTTCTTTTTTATACATTTTTGCTATAAAAAGTAAAGGTGACGACAGCTTGACTTAACATACATTCTATAGGTTCCAGGTTTTTTAAATTAAATATATGTATATAGAGTACCTACTCGTACTACAAATAAGTATTTAAAATACTTATTACTTATTTCTGTTAAACATACATATTTGCTGATATTTAATAACTCTGCGAACATTTCAAATTCAAAACAATGGCGGATTTTTGCCAAATACCATGTTATAATCTCTACTCAATGATAGCCAGACGAGACTAAACATTTTACAGAAAACAAAAATTTTAGCATAATTTTGATTTTCTAAATGTATACATTTAAGTCACTTTTGGATGATAGTTGGAAGATTGTTCATATTTTACAAAAGCAAAAACAAAATTGCATAAGAATTGTTATACACTTCTGCATTGTAGTTAGAAGAGTTTACACATTTTACAAAAAAACAGATTTAAAATCGACTTGTTATACCCTACATTACTATAAAGGGGAGGGTATGCGTTTATGTTAATGTTTGTAACACCCAAAACACCCTACATTCATCTTAAACTATATCAATCGGCAGAGTCACTTTCTAAGTCGATTTAGCTATGTCCGTTCGTCCGTTTGTGCCCAGCTATTAAATGCACTAACACTTTGATCACATTATCGCGTGGAAGATACTTCAGAGAGACTTCCGCGATAAATATTGCTTACTGGGATACTTTGTAAATGAATATTTCAATTTTTTAGGTTTTTTTCTTCTACTGCTTCCCAACTTGGGGTACATGTTTAAAATAATGACACAACACGCAATATATGTTGAACTTTTTGTTTAGGTATTAAAGAGTTTTTTTTTAAGACTTTTGTAAATGATTTTTTTTATTTTCAGGTTGTTTTGCAAATATACGTACATATGTATGTATGTTTATTTACATTAAAACAAAAATTATTTTATTTTTCATTTAAAGTTAATGCCCGATGCGTCAGATGTGGCATTTAGGCAGTTTATTTTGACAGAACTAGTAGTTCTTTTTAATGTGGGCAATGAAGAAAATACTAAACAACAAAGAATTTTACTTAATACTATTAAAAACAACAACAACAAAAGAAAAGAAATTTTAATAGAGATATTAGCTTTAACAATTTACTATTTTATAAATAAAACAAAAAAATACAATTTTTTAAACTTAGTACCATTAGTACTATTTAAAAGCCATTAACCGATTGTTTACAGTAAAAGTAAATATTTTGTTTAAAAATTTTAAAAGCTATAAATAATTATTTAGCAATAATTAAATAAAATCGGAAAAAGTTGTTAATCTATGATAATCGGGATAAACAATTGAATCAAAAAGTATAATCAAGTCTGATATGAACATATCCTGACATCCATCACTACTCAACCCTAAGCATTCAAGAGAAAACATCCGACACATTTACATGTGTCTGAATTACTATAGCGAATGATCCAGTTCACACTATACATTCGCAAATTTATTTGACAGTTCGTCACTATGTTGTTTTTTTCATTTCACACTTGAAATTTTATATGGCGAATAATGTTATTCGGTTCTTAATAGGGAATTTTATAACTAATGAGGGAGTAAATGACGACTACTAATTGTGTCGTGTGAACATAGCATTAAGTTAGACAATCAGAAAGTGAATACGTAGACTAATGGAAAAGCACAATTAAAGCGAAAAGCGTTAAAAGTTGAACTTTAAAATAATTTAATGTTAAAGCAAATAATTTTTAACAAAAATTATTAAAATATCAAAATAAAAAGAAATTTAACAGAATGTGTAAAAACAGCAGGAAACATTACACAATTAAAACAAATTTAACAAAAATTTCGTTAAGAAAATTAGCGAAAGCTTAATAAACTTTCTTCTCACGATAAATAGCGACTTCAAAAAAAAAAATAACACATAAATAAATTCTTACGGTAAAAAATCATGAAAAATAGTTAAATTTTGTTGGCACAGCAGGTTACAACAAATATTTTAACAAATCTGCTAATAAAATGAAGATTTGATTAAAAAAAAAAAAATATCAATAAAA